CCACCAGACACAGCGGAATGCGGATCCTGGTAATCAGGAGCCAGCGATCATGTGATCGCTATGTGATCACATGATCACAATGTCAATAAAGCTGTTATGAATGAATTTCATTCATAACAGCTTTTCTTCTGATACTAGTGAGCTGTAATGGGCTCACATGGCATCAGATTGTTCCTGGGCCAATCACAGCATCCTGTATCATGTGATTAGCTGTAGGCAATCACAGATCACTAGAATTCAGAAATGTTATGAACTTAACCCATTCATGACAGTTCACAGCATTGTTGGTGCAATGTACTTCATTGCACCAACAAACTGTTAAAAAAAATTCCTGATCATCCCTCCAGAGTAGTTCCATGTTACTATGGTAACATTAAACTACCCTGATGAAAGTATTTTTTTTAAATTAGTACACAATTAAAAATAATGTTAAAAAATGTAAATATTGAATTAAAAAAATATTTATTTATTTATTTTTATGCATGTTACCAGCTGCGATTGGAGAAGATAGTTCTTCTCTTCCTGGGCCCTTTTCGGTCCAGGGAGAGAAGAAAGAAAACCATACTGTGAGTAAAAGCAGCACATTTTTTTACACACACACACACACACACACACACACACGTTAGATTAGCACATTTAACCCTTTGATCACCCCTGTTATAAAACCAGTGGCATTAGTACAGTGTCAGTATATAGAATGTTTCACCGATCACTGTATTACTGCCACTAGTGTCATCAGATAGCATCATGGTTAGTGCCCCTCCCAGCCAGCATCAGCTAGAGTTAGATGGCACATTATTGCACTCTCGCTATAGGTTGCTGATGGCCTCCATTACAAGTATAGTTTTTGTATGGATCAGTATAGTGATTACGAACAGAACTATACTAGTGCCCCTTAGCATAGTGTCACATTTCTGAGCATGTCAGATGAGAGAGAATGGGAGTCCTTACTGGCAGAATCCACCTCAGAATACAAACCTGTAGAGAGAAGTGGCACCTTGCCAGGTAGCTTGGATGATGGAGAAGAGGTTCCTGCTAAGATCAACTGTACCTGATCCCATGTAGCTAAAGTGCTAGGAATGCATGACTTGTCTCATTAGCAGCAGGGTCCAAGTACTAGTGCTGCACTACCTTTTGGTAAACTGGTGAACACTAGCGGCCTAGTACATCCTGGCATTTTACATACAAGAACTGCAGTATTACTTGGTAATGTGAAGAGTCCCATAAGTGCAGTCTAAGGCACTAGTAGTGTCCCACAGTCATCAAGAATTCGAACACAGGCCTGTAGAGCCCTTTGCAGGAATGCCATTGTCAGGAATGGACTTGCCAATAATGGTGGGACTCACCTGCCTTGTGGGCTGCAGTACCAGGGCTGGCCAGCGGGTGCTCTCAGCAATCAGAGACTCAACCCTGCAGTCAGCCAAACACCTGAGGCTGATTGCAGGTGTATTTAAGGGATGGCCAGACCTGTAGTCTGTGCCTTGGTGTGTGTTTTTCCATGGGCCCCTGTATCTTGTTACCTGCATTCCTGTTTCTGTTCCTGTTCCTGCCTGACTGACTCGTTGCCGACCCTGCCTGATCCTGACCTCTGCTGACTTCTCCTGTTTGATCCCTGGCTTGTGACCCCGACCATTCTCTGCCTGACCCCCTGTACCTACCTGCCCGTTAGTTGCTGTACCCGGCTCGTGACCTGACTACTCTCTGCCTGCTCCTCCTGTTCCTACCTGCCCGATTGTTATTGACCGGTGTCAGGAATGGACTGGTCAGCAATAGTGGGACTCAGCTGCCTTATGAGCTGCAGTACCAGGGCTGGCCAGCGGGTGCTCCCAGCAATCAGAGACTCAACCTTGCAGCCAGTCAAAACACCTGGAACTAATTATACTGGTGTATTTAAGGGACATTCAGACCTGCAGACTCTACTTTGGTGTTGTGTTTCTCTTGGGCCCTGTATCCTGTTCCTGTCTGATTCTCTGCTGACCCTGCTCTGATCCCTGGCTTGTCTGACCATTCTCCTCTGCCTGACCCTCTGTACCACGCTGCCCGCTACCTGCTGAACCTGGCCTGTGACCCCGACCATTCTCCGCTTGCTCCCCCTGTACCTACCTGCCCGACTGATATTGACCCGGCCTGCCTGACGACGCTTGCATTGTATGTACTGTTATCTGTGGGTGGTTGGTTGGTTTGTTTGCACTGTGTTATGTTTTAGTATTGCACTGCGTTTATGTTTGTATGGTTAGTGTTAATAAATTACATTGTTTATAACATATCTGAAGTCTGCGTTTCCCTGCGTCAGTCACACACCTCTGGTCACACCCGGGAGCCCTGACATTACACCAAGGCCAATCCTGACCAGAAGTGGCTGCACAGGGAAGCCATCTTGGTTTGTTGATGGGAAGGATGGATCTTGATGAGGTTGAGTATTTATATCTGCTAGTGTTTGATGACAGGGAGTATGCTTATCAAACTCTGAAGGAGTATACCCGGGATGAACCGCTAGAATGTATACGGCTCGCTCATGTTCTAGTAGATCAGGCACAGAGTTCTCTGAGGTGCAGCCTTTGATTGAGGTTTGTGCTGAGTTGGTTTCATCTGGTTCCCCCGAATGCAGGGATGAATTTTTGCCACCATTTAGTGCATACCAGGTAGAGTCCCTGGTGTGGTTATTAGAGGATGATGTGGGTTACTTTCTGGAGCGATATTCCACATGTTCACCACAGGTACTAAGAGATTGTATAAACGCAGTGCAGTCATTGACCAGACAGGCTTTGTGTAAGCTCAGCTTTGTTCAACCCATACTGCAGACATGGACAGACTTGTTGCACCCAGCCTCAGTCAGCTTACAAAAACCCAGTCCTGCTTCTAATCTATTTCCTGAAAACTCTATTCCTGCATTCCCAACAGCTCCTCCTGCCCTGCTATCTACCGCATATCAGTACCCTGTTCCCACTCGCTGCACCTATCCTGCCTTTAACCCTGTAAAAAAGCCCTCTGTAGCAACTGCTCCCTCCTCTGTTCCATCCTCCAGTTCTTCTCTGTCTCCAGCTGCTCCATTCGTTTTGCAGACCTGCGTTTACTTGCAGTGCTCCAGTAGTTAAAACCAGAAAAAAGTGAAAATTCTTTCCAACCAATACCATCCTGCCAGTATCCAAACCGGTGAGCCTGCCGTCTGAGAACCTGCCTTCCGTGGTTCAGCCTGGTGCCTCGGCACCCCGCCATTCAGCCTGATTGCCTCTATTCAGCCTGGTACCTGTACCCAGCCTGGTGCCTCCACTCAGCCTGATGCCTCTACTCAGCCTGATGCCTCTACTCAGCCTGGTGCCTCTACTCAGCCTGGTGCCTCTACTCAGCCTGGTGCCTCTACTCACCCGGATGCCTCTACTCAGCCGGATGCCTCTACTCAGACCGGATGCCTCTACTCAGCCTGGTGCCTCTACTCAGCCTGGTGCCATCCACTCAGCATGATGAACTGATCCAGCCTGATGATCCTATTAGGCCAGTTGACTCGATACCCGCTGTTGATCCAGACGATCCGGTACCTGATCCAGTGCCCGCTGTCATGCCAATTGACTCAGAGCCCGCTGTCATACCTGGTGACTCGGTGCCCACTGCCTTGCCAGATGACGCGGTGCCCGCTGGCGAGCCAAATGACCTGATGCCTGGTGACCCGATGCCTGCTGTCCAGCCAGACGATTCAATGTCTGCCCCAGTGCCCGCGGTCATGCCAGTTGACTCGGAGCCCACTGCCTTGCCAGATGACGCGGTGCTCGCTGTCCGAGCCAAATGACTTGATGCCTGGTGACCCGATGCCCGCTGTCATACCTGGTGACCCGATGCCCGCTGTCGAGCCAGACAATCCGGTACCTGATGACCCGGTGCCCCGCTGTCATAACCTGGTGACCCGATACCCGCGGTCGAGCCAGACAATCCGGTACCTGATGACCCGGTGCCCGCTGTCGTGCCAATTGACTCAGAGCCCGCTGTCGTACCTGGTGACTCGGTGCCCACTGCCTTGCCAGATGACGCGGTGCCCGCTGGCGAGCCAAGTGACCTGATGCCTGGTGACCCAGTGCCCGCTGTCATACCTGGTGACCCGATGACCCCGCTGTCGAGCCAGACGATCCAATGCCTGGTGACCCGGTGCCCACTGCCTTGCCAGATGACGTGGTGCCCGCTGGCAAGCCAAATGACCTGATGCCTGGTGACCCAGTGCCCGCTGTCATACCTGGTGACCCGATGCCCACTGTCGAGCCAGACAATCCGGTACCTGATGACCCGGTGCCCGCTGTCGTGCCAATTGACTCAGAGCCCACTGTCGTGCCTGTTGACTCAGAGCCCACTGCCTTGCCAGATGACGCGGTGCCCGCTGTCGAGCCAAATGACCTGATGCCTGGTGACCCGATGCCCACTGTCCAGCCAGACGATCCAATGTCTGACCCAGTGCCAGCGGTCATGCCAGTTGACTCGGAGCCCACTGTCGTGCCTGGTGACTCGGTGCCCGCCGCTTCGCCTGGGGGTCCGAGACCTGTCGCTCCGCCTGGGGGTCCGGCGCCCGCCGCCCCGCCAACCCTGGCCGCCCCCCGCCTGCCGCCTGAGACCGCCGCTCCCGCCTAAGGGCCCGAGACCTGTCGCTCCGCCTGGGGGTCCGGCGCCAGCCGCTCCGCCTGAGGGGCCCGAGACCTGTCGCTCCGCCTGGGGGGGGTCCGGCGCCCGCCGCTCTCCGCCAGAGGGCCCGAGACCTGTCGCTCCGTCTGGGGGTCCGGCGCCCGTCGCTCCGCCTGAGGGCCCGAGACCTGTCCCTCCGCCTGGGGGTCCGGCGCCCGCCGCTCCGCCTGAGGGCCCGAGACCTTTCGCTCCACCTGGGGGCTTCCCGGCGCCCGCCGCTCCGCCTGAGGGCCCGAGACCTGTCGATCCACCTGGGGGTCCGGCGCCCGCCGCTCCGCCTGAGGGCCCGAGACCTGTCGCTCCATCTGGGGGTCCGGCGCCCGCCGCTCTGCCTGAGGGCCCGATGCCTGTCGCCCCGCCTGGGGGCCCGGCGCCCGCCACTCCGCCTGGGGGCCCAATGCCTGTTGCCCCGCCTGGGGGCCCGATGCCTGTCGCCCCTCCTGGGGGCCCAGCGCCCGCCGCTCCGCCCGGGGGCCCGCTGCCTGCTGCTCCGCCTGGTGGCCCGCTGCCTGCTGCTCCGCCTGGGGGCCGGGTGCCTGCTGCTCCGCCTGGGGGCCCGTGCCTGCTGCTGCTCCGCCTGGTGGCCCGCTGCCTGCTGCTTCGCCTGGTAATCCGATGTGCCTCTGCCCGGAGTCCGGCCCGATGTGCCTCTGCCCGGAGTCCAGCCCGATGTGCCTCTGCCCGGAGTCCAGCCCGATGTGCCTCTGCCCGGTGTGCCTCTGCCCGATGTGCCTCTGCCCGGTGTGCCTCTGCCCGATGTGCCTCTGCCCGGAGTCCTGCCCGATGTGCCTTTGCCCGGAGTCCTACCCGATGTGCCTCTGCCCGGAGTCCTGCCCGATGTGCCGCTGCCCGGAGTCCTGCCCGGTGTGCCAGTCTTTGATATCCCGCCAGTTACCAGACCCGGGCGGTGGAACATTTTGCCCAGCTAGGACTGTTTGGAGCGTCCTGAGGCCGCTCCTTGAGGGGGGGGTACTGTCAGGAACGTACTGGCCAGCAATAGTGGGACTCAGCTGCCTTATGAGCTGCAGTACCAGGGCTGGCCAGCGGGTGCTCCCAGCAATCAGAGACTCAACCTTGCAGCCAGTCAAACACCTGGAACTAATTATACTGGTGTATTTAAGGGACATTCAGACCTGCAGACTCTGCCTTGGTGTTGTGTTTCTCTTGGGCCCTGTATCCTGTTCCTGTCTGATTCTCTGCTGACCCTGCTCTGATCCCTGGCTTGTCTGACCATTCTCCTCTGCCTGACCCTCTGTACCACGCCGCCCGCTACCTGCTGAACCTGGCCTGTGACCCCGACCATTCTCCGCTTGCTCCCCCTGTACCTACCTGCTGTTGATATTGACCCGGCCTGCCTGACGACGCTTGCATTGTATGTACTGTTATCTGTGGGTGGTTGGTTGGTTTGTTTGCACTGTGTTATGTTTTAGTATTGCACTGCGTTTATGTTTGTATGGTTAGTGTTAATAAATTACATTGTTTATAACATATCTGAAGTCTGCGTTTCCCTGCGTCAGTCAGTCACACACCTCTGGTCACACCCGGGAGCCCTGACGCCCGGCCTGCCTGACTACGCTTGCATTGTATGTATTGTTATCTGTGGGTGGTTTGGTTTGGTTTGGTTCGTTTGCACTGTGTTTATGTTTTAGTATTGCACTTCGTTTTGTACTGTTAGTATTAATAAATTATATTGTTTATAACATATCTGAAGCCTGCGTTTCCCTGCGTCAGTTCACATACCTCTGGTCATACCCGGAGCCCTGACAGCCATTCAGCTGCAGCACTGATATGTTTTATTCTGACAGCAGAAGGGTGTTCTTTCAGAATATATACGTCAGTGTATGCAGCACTACTGGAGGACATTTCTCTTATCCACATGGAAAAAAAAGAGCATATATGCCCAAACATGGGGGCCTGGGGTGGTCAGTGGGCGGATCGCTCCTATGCATATATTTCTTTCACTTTTTTGGCAGAGATTTCTTTATCCAGATTGATCGATGTGATTGGAGGTTCTTTTTTTTCTTTCAGCTCACAGGCTGCATGAAAAAATATAGCACTGTAAATCTGATGGTCAGCAATATATACATAAGCTAAGCAAGTTTTAGGGAAAAAAATCTATTTCCTCATTTCCCTAGTTCTCTTCTGGCCCTTTGTTGTTATTTGCAGGTAAACAATCTCTGCCCTCCTGCAAAGGGGGTGAATACAAGTGCTGCTCTGAGTGACATGTCTGACTACTGGGATACAGCATGCTGTATGTGTAAGCCTCAGCCCTGAGTCTGTGCTTCTAATGGTAGAAGGGCTTAATCTTTCCTGAAGAATCCAGTGGGAGGGAGACACAGGGCAGATAGCAGCAGCTCCGGTCAGTGCAGGGGGGCGTGGCCAGCACTGTGACATCTCCTGTACAGACACAGAGCTGATCACTCCTGCAGTCCACACTTGTGCACAAATCATCATCAGGTTCTTGGTTCTAGGCTGTTCACACTTTTTCATCGCAATTCATGTTAGCTCATCATTCTTCAACCGTTATGTTATGACTCTGCGAAAGTGTATTATTTCGCCAGACAGTTTCTGTTTCATCTGTGGTGAATATACAGTGTTGAAGCAACAGCAGAATATTACAGACTTTGTGAAAAAAGTATACTTTGCATACTTTGGACAAAAAATTGGAGATCAAGATAAAGTGTGGGCGCCTCATAAAGTGTGCAAACGGTGTGTTGCGGACCTCCGAAACTGGTTCAAGGGTAAGAAATTCCCGTTATGGGATTCCTATGGTATGGTGAGAGCAAAAGAAACATAGTGACAACTATTACTTTTGTCCATACGATGCGAAAGGGTTTAATACGAAATGGAAGCATACCATTTCATACCCCAATCTTCACTCAGCAATTCGTCCCATCCCCCATGGCACAGATATACCAGTACCCAAGCCCCCTGCTACCTTGGAAGAGATACCTAGCTGCGATGAAGGTGAAGTCATACCTGAACCAGATGACAAATCAAGTTCTGACTTTGAAGATGATACAAGACCAAAATTGTTTTCTCAGGAGGAGATGAATGATTTGGTAAGAGACTTGAATCTTCCCAAAGATGCCGCTGAGTTACTCAGATCAAGGCTGAAAAGCAGGAATTTATTGTTGCCAGGAGTGTCATCTTCATGGTTCAGACATCTTGAAAAGGAGTTTGATCCTTACTTCGCCCAGGAAGACAAGTTGGTTTATAACATTGATGTTGAAAGGTCTGATGGGTCAATTTAAAATCCAATATGATTCAGAGCAATGGCGTCTTTTTATAGATTCTTCAAAAAGAAGTCTCAAGCAGTTTTACTCCACAACGGTGGTTTTTACGCTTCCATACCTGTAGGTCATTCTTTACACTTGAAGGAAACCTACGAGAACTTGGAATTGGTTCTTCGTAAACTTAAATATGAAGACCATGGTTGGCAAGTGTGCGGAGACTTGAAGGTCTGGTGCATGCTGCTTGGGCAACAAGCTGGGTATACCAAATACCCTTGTTTTCTGTGTCTATGGGACAGTCGAGACCGACAAAATCCCTGGACCAAGAAGAGTTGGCAGCCGAGGGTGCAAACAGTCGGTGAAAAAAATATCCTCCGAGAAACTTTGGTACCTTCCCATAAAGTTCTTCTACCACCTCTCCACATAAAATTGGGATTGATGAAGCAATTCATAAAATCACTTCCAAGAGATGGAGAATGCTTCAAATACTTGGTCACCAAGTTTCCAGGCCTGTCGGAGGCAAAACTGAAGGAAAGTGTGTTCGTCGGACCAGACATTTCAAGGCTTATAGTTGATCAAGAGTTTGTCAATACCATGATGGATCCTCAAAAAGAAGGGTGGATTGCATTTAACTAGTTGCCGACCGCAGATAGCCGAATGACGGCTGCACTGCGGCTGGCCAGTTCTGAGTGGACGTCATATGACGGCCACCCAGAACGCTCTCTCCTGCGCGCCCCAGGGGGCGCGCACCCGGCGATCTCCGTGATCGCTGTGTCCTACGGACACAGCTGATCACGTGATGTGATAAAAGGCCAATCACAGCGGCCTTTTACCACGTGATCAGCGGTGTCCAATGACACGCTGATCAGAGGGAAATGCAAGTGCCGGTTCTCGGCTGCACTTTCCTCACGCTGTCAGATCGTGAGGAAAGTACTGCCGAGAACCGGCAGTTGTCAGAGCGGGGATCGGCACCGATCATCAGGGCACTGATGATCAGTGCCCTGATGATCGGTGCCCAGCAGTGCCACCCGCAAGTTCCGCCCAGCAATACGCCAACTAGCTCCGCCCACCTGTGCCCAGCAGATCACCCACCTGTGCCCAGCAGATCACCCACCTGTGCCCAGCAGTGCACCCACCTGTGCCACTCTGCAGTGTCACACACCTGTGCCCAGAAATGCCACCTACCTGTGCCCAGCAGTGCCACCCACTGTGCCCACCCACCTGTGCCCAGCAGTGCCACCCACCTGTGCCCACCCACCAGTGCTGCCCACCAGTGCAGCCCAGCAGTGCTGCCAGTCAGTGCCCAGGGGTTGTGCCAGTCAGTGCCGCAGTCAGTGCCCAGCAGTGATGCCAGTCAGTGCCGTCTATCAGTACCCATCATCAGTGTCACCTATCAGTGCCGCCTATCAGTGCTGCATATTAGTGCCGCCTATCCGTGACACCTCATTAGTGCTGTCTATCAGTGCCGCCTATCCATGCCACCTCATTAGTACTGCCTATCAGTGCCCTTTAGTGCTGCCTATCAGTGCCCATCAGTGCCGCCTATCAGTGACCATCAGTGCTGCCTCATCAACGTACATCAGTGAAGGAGAAAAAAATACCTGTTTGAAAAATTTTATAATAGAAACAAAGAAACTTTTTTTTTTTTTTCAAATTTTTTGCAATTTTTTTATTTATAGCGCAAAAAGTAAAGCGCCCAGTGGCGATTAAATACCACCAAAAGAAATCTCTATTTGTGAGAAAAAAATTATCAAAATTTCATATGGGTACAATGTTGCATGACCGCGCAATTGTCAATCAAAGTGCGGCAGCGCTGAAAGCTGAAAATTGGCCTGGTAAATAAGGGGGTATAAGTGCCTGGTAGGCAAGTGGTTAAAGAAGTCGTACAGAAAATTTTAGGCAATAACAAAGATCCTCACTACAAAAAGATTGTCGGACAAATGCTGAAAGCATTTCAAGCTTTAGGTTGCCTGATGAGTTTGAAAGTACATTTCCTCCAGTCACACCTTGACTACTTTCCTGAAAATTTGGAAGCTGTGAGTGAGGAACAAGGTGAATGATTCCACCAAGACATTAAAGAGATGGAAAGGAGATACCAGGGAAAATGGAGCATTACAATGATGGCAGACTACTGTTGGATGCTTCAGAGAGACATTTCAGATGCTACTCACAAGCATAAATGCACCTAGAGGAGCCTCACAGGGAAGAAGAATTGAGTTTAGTGTGTGTAGGTGAGCTCATTTCAGTTCAAAAAAGAATTTTCATGAAAAAATTATAATAAAACTTTAATTTTATAAGTATATTTCCATTTATTTTGAGGTATTGCCTTATTTAACATAGTTACCTAAATTGTCAGGAAACATGATGTCCTATGACAAAATGGAGGTCATTTTCGGATTCAGCGCACCAAAAAACATAAAGATTATGTGGAATAACCAAAACAGCTCTTGAAAAAAAACTTTTTGCAGTCAAATTATATTATTATTATTATACAGGATTTGTATAGCAGTGCAGCCTCAACAGTGCCCATCAGTGAAGCCTCATCAGTGCAGCCTATCAGTGCCCACCCGTGCAACCTCATCAAAGTACATCAGTGAAGAAGAAAAATTACTTATTTGTAAAATTTTATAACAG